AAATAATTATATTTGCTCTTTACTTTTTATTGAGCACTCTTTTAAGAATAGTAATTGTTGGTTATTGGAATTTATTCTGTATACACCAATCCTATACTTGTATACAAATATATATATATATATATATATATATATATATATATATATAGGCAAAGATTGTTATATAGATATATACAAAGATACGAATATACAGAGAGAGTAATTCTTAAGCAAAAAAATGGATTAATTAAGCTTAGTTAAGCGTAATATAGTTAAAACTTTCAATAAGACTTTGAACATGTAGTCCGGTAAATATTAATTCCACCATCTACTTTTTTAGGGATTCCAATTCAAATACCCTTTTCAACTCGTAAAACGTTTATAGTGATACGAAATCAAAAGGCCGACAAATATATATATATATATATATATATATATATATATATTGATATAGGCGGTGTAATAGCAAGCTTGTCACGCTAGAACAATTACAACTGTGTAATGAGTTTGATCCTCACTGGGTGCCTCATACTTTCGGCTTTTGTGCCTCATCTAAGCTACGCGCAATAATATATATAATATATATATATATATATATATATATATATATATATATATATAGGCAGCTATAAAGGCAAATATATAGGTAGCTAGCTAGAAACTTGTAAAGATAAATAAAATCTTACCCGTAGACATTAATAGATAGATGGCTAGCTAGCTAGCTAGATAGATAGATAGATAGTAATTCTTAAGCAAAAAGTGGATTCATTAATCCGAGTTAAGCGTATTATTGTTAAAACTTTCAATAAGACTGGATCTCTAGTCCGGTAAAGATAGATAGATAGATAGATTGATAGATAGATAGATAGATATGAACAGATTGAAATAGATAGTTATTAAAACGATTGAGATAGATAGATAGATGATAGATAGATAGATAGATAGATAGATAGATATGAGCGCGCTTAATTAGATAGTTGTAAAACCGACTGAGATAGATAGATATGAACAGACTGAAATAGATAGGTCTGAAAAGGATTAAGATAGATAGATAAATAAATAGATAGATAGATAGATAGTAATTCAAGCGTAATATTGTTACAACTTTCAATAAGTCTTTGGACCTCTAGTCCCTTAAATATTAATAGATAGATAGATAGATAGATATGAACAGACTGAAATAGATAGGTCTGAAACCGATTGAGATAGATAGATAGATAGATAGATAGATAGATATGAAGAGAATTTGATAGCTAGCTAGCTAGATAGATAGAGACTAAGATATATAGATACGAGCAAAACTTTAGGACAAGAAAGAAATATAGAACATCGTTTTTGAAATGGCTATAACTCGTCCACACTTCGTGTTTACCGAGAGATTTTATACAGTATTATTAATCACTGCCTCTGTTTGCAGATTTTTTTAACTCTTCATTTGTGCATTTATCAACGCACTTATCGAATCGGAGCTCGTTATATCGCTCTTCACCCTACACAGCTTTTTGAACATGGCTTTTTTTCTTTGTTCTCCCCGTCGATTTTAGCACCTGTTGATTGCTTGTTACGGCTGAGATATGATGCTTGACGTGAAGGACTACTTATTCCTCGAGGAAAGTGCCGAGTATTAAGAAACAAGCATTTAGATTTACAAAGTTTTATAGCTGTATTAATCAGATAGATAGATAGATAGATAGATAGACAGACTGATAAAAATAAGTGAAGAATGAAAATCAACACTGCATGGCGACTGTCAGTTTCACGTGCCGGGCAATCTTTTGACCATATGTATTTATGTGGAAAATCAAACTCTATTTCTTGCTGTCTGTGTACATGTATGCGTGAGGGTACATGCCGTCATGTACATATATGTATTTGTCTTTAAATAAATATGCGTATGTTCGAAGATATCTATGTCTCTGCGTGTGTATGTCTCTGCGTGTGTGTCTGCATATGTGAATGTGTGTGTGTGTTTTTCCCGAAGCAAATCCATATGCCCGCAGTCTACGGATTTAAACATACTGTTAATTTACGCGTACAAATATTTTTCCAACATGATCTCTTCCATTGTCAAGGCACCTAATTCCGTATTGAATGTTAATCCCATAGTAAGAGTTATACAGTGAATATTTTGGAACAAAATTCCCCAAGAAACTGTGAGGCTCTGTAATTTATTGATTCTGGTTTTTGCCGTATACATGCCTTCCATATATATATAAAGTATATATATATATGTGTGAAGTGTTTTAAAATGTGTCAGGAAAGATATGTGCGTGTGTCAGTGTGTGTATGTAAAAGCAGTTATTTGTATTACAGTATTATTGTCTTTGTTTCCTATGATGTAAAAATTTCAAATTTAGATTAAAGCTTTTGTTCAAAATCCAAAATAAAGAGGGGTGATGAAAAATATTTAAAAAAAGGAAGATACCCATGGGGTTTCTAGGTGCGTAATATATATATATATATATATATATATATATATATATATATATATATAATGTGTGTGTGTGTGTAAACAACGCATAACCGACTTGTATAAGGTTGCGTCAATGGATAGTGGAAGTGGGCCGTGTGTGAGAAAATAATAAAATAAAAGAAATGTTTCAATAAGAGATTTGTAGGAATAGGATGTTGTTTTTTCTGTAATCGTAATTTGCAGTTTGGATTCTTTAATTATTTTATTTTAACTCTTTTTTTTTCATTTTTTTTTTTTTTAGACTTGTTTTGTTAAGAATTTTACATTTTAAAAGATAAACGCAAAAAGTTGGTTTTCAGATTTGAATATTTTAGCTAATTTCATCCTTCATACTTGATAAATATATATATATATATATATATATATCTATCTTTTCATCTTTTCAAGCTGTCAGAAAACCATTTTCTATCTATCTATTTATCTAATCTATCTATATTGTTTTCCCTCGTAAGACTAAATCACAAATGATTTTTACGATCCCTATTCAATGTATTTAAAAGTTTAATATAAGAAATAAATTAAGATATACACTGTGTTGATGCTAAAGGTCAAAGTCAATTTCCGGCCACTCTCAATGTTCTTCAACCAACAAATGCTACTCCTTGTCAAAATTTTTTATATCAATACGGGGATATGATGCGTAAAAGACATTCTCAATAAAACCAAAATCTGAGATTTGGTCCTATTATTTTAAAATTTTTATATTTTTAAAATTCTTATATTTATCATATATGATAAAATCTAGTCTTCTGAATCAAGATGTGTTTTGTAGATACGTACAAGTATGTGTTCTGTGCCTGTCTTTGCAAATGAGTTTAAAAACTTTGGGGAGGTCTATATGTTACTGGAATGTGATTATTATTTTTTTTTATTTTTAAAAAAAGTTAAAACGTTTTGATGCGTGTATTCTTTAATTTCCATATTACTTCAAGGTGTGATTTGGATACGACATCCAATTATTCTTTTTAAACAAATGATTTTTAAAAATTTTTTATTTATCTCACAAAATGAAATATCTGCCATGCATGGTTAGTTATATGTTCTATAATAACAGTAAATTTTTACCTGACTGGTGACATTCAATTTATTTTCCCAAAGTTTAAATAAAAGCCACAGTCGAATTTTGACTTTCTATTTTTTGGAAAACCGATATCAAAATTGAAGACAAACTCTCAATTCATTTTGGTTTTAGAAATAATACACATTGCCATCCTTTGACCTTATTTTATATCTTATAATAATTGTGCATACATTGACTTATCTACGTTTTTAATTTTTTTTGAAGTGATGTTAAATGAAAATTCATCGTTTCATTTTCAAAATCCCTTTCGATTTTTTATCTGTTTTCTATGACGAAGCTTTAATAAAATTGATCGACTGTTAGATTGATAGTGTTGCTTTATTGTTCCTATTTTTTTATATTATTTTATATATATATATATATATATATAATATATAAATTCTGATCAATTAAAAAGATGGAGAGATAGAGCCAAAAGACCAAATGAGCGAACTGCAGGGAAGAAAAGGCACTGTCCAGTAGAGGGAATATGTTTGTCCATAAAACGTGATATAACGAGGCTTTTTATTTTCCCCAAGGAAGATATCAAACAAAAGAAGATAACATAGGGATATCGGCGGGAAATTGGAAGTTTACGGTTTTATAATCATCGCCAATTCTTCAAATATAAATCAAACAAATTAACCCACAAAATGGAGAATCATCAAATTAAGGACTGTGATAAACAATTGAAGACCGATGAAATTTTTGCAAAAGAAAGATCAATGTTAATAAAATAAAGACATAATTCCGGACATACTATTTGAACAAATTAACAAAATATTTATAAATGCAGACACAAAACCACCTCAATTTACTATGAAGTATGTTTTATCGTATAAACAACTATTTAAAAAAATAAATATTAATTTTGTTTTTTTTCATGAATGTATGTAGACATGGATGTTATAAATTGTTTAATTTAAAACAGATGAACATTTATATGTGAATTTATTATATTTATATAATATATGTATTAACGTTTTACATAAAAATACCTATGTTTAGGTATGGATATATGTTTTTTTTTCTTGTATGCCCATGTGTATGGAGGCATATGTGTATATAAATAGGTATATATATATATGCAAATGTGTATTGTAAAAATATAAAATAAAATATGCACTTCATACAACGTTATTTTTTTAATTCTAGGTATTTAAATTATATATATATATATATATATATATATATATGTATTTTTTATATGTGTGTGTGTATGTGTACAGAAGTGTGTGTTTGTAAAGGACATAATAGGTGTATGTGTATATATGTTGTGTGTATGTATATATATATATATATATATATATATATATATATATATTTGAATATTTAATCTGCACCATATTGTAACGAAAAAAAATGTATATAAATATATGTATATATATATTTTTATCCATATATATATAAAATATATTTGTATATATATATATAAATATATATAATATAAATACATATATTTCTAAGTGGTTAACATACACACACACACACACACATATATTATATATATATACATATGTATATATATCTATGTATATATGTGTGTAAATAATTTATATATATATACATATATATATATATGTATATATAGATTGATATTATGATATATGTATATAAATATATATGGTATATATATATATATATATATATATATATATATATATATATATATATATATATATATATGTATGTGTCTATACGTGTATAGAATATTTTTTAATCATGGAAGTAACTTGTCATTCTTATGGTATTTTAAAATTGATCTTTTAATATTTAGTATCACTTTCTCTTTAATGTTCTATAATTAGAATTTTGAGAGTGTATTTTTATCTTCTTAAAGGAGTTTCATTTTAAAATTGATAATTTAAATTTAAATATACCACTCTTTTAACTATTAATAGTAATAATAATATTAACGAAAATCCTTTAATAATGAAGCACTTCAGAAGTCACCTAAAGTTAAACTTTAACTATAAAATCAAACTAAAATCTAAATAAATTTCAAACGTTAAAATATAGGTAATGATTGAGAAATGTATGTATATATAATTTATGTTTGAAGATGGATGAACATTTGTGTATATTGTTGTACGTGTGTCTATGTGTGTATTTGCACATGTAAATGGACGTATGTATATGTGGATTTGCATGAATATGTTTTTTTTGAGATATATATAAGAAGAAAACAAAATCTTTAATTAATGATAAATATTATTAAATAATGAAACCTAAACCTTAATTAAGTTTACCCATATAATAATAAAAGAAAAATTGCATTCATAAATTAGATTTAAAATAAAACTAATATAGATGTTATTGTTATTTCTTTTTTTTTTAAATATTTTGAAAGTACAATTGGTCGGGTAAATAAACTATTATAATTTTAAATATTTCTTTAATATGTTCTCAATAAATGTGCTAATAAAAAATAGTAGTTAACTTATATTAAGTCCCTAAACTATTTACTTAAAAAAATTAAATATTTAAATTAATAACATTCATCATTTTTTTTTGTATCTAAATTTCTATCAAGCATTGAAATCTATCTTTTACATAATTTTGTTAAAAACAAAATTACAGCCTCTTTCGATTCACTTCCCTCTCCCCTCTCTCTTTGCCGTAACACTCATTTAGATATATCTGTATTACTGTTGTTCTGTCTCCTCTTCCTTTTCCATTTTTTCTTTTCTTTTTCCCCACTACCCTCCCATTCCTATATATCATTTCCGTTAAGTTAACCATCTAAATAGGTCACGATTAGGGTCACTCCTCCTACCCCAATATAAAACATGCTTAAGAGAAATATGAAATTAACCCCTCCCTATACTCTACCTTGTCTCGTTAACTACAACTATCACCCTCCCTGTTAAATTACAAAATTACACTACCCATCAATTTCTAATCCCATTTTCCTTTCATTTCGTTGTTGGAAGTGTTACCTGATGATCCGGAGTCCTTCAAAAAGGATTTGGGTGAAATAAATTATTGTAATGGTACCTTAAAAAAGGTCTGTTTTTCATTTAATATATATATATATATATATATATATATATATATATATATCCATATATATATATATCCATTTGTTCTTCATATGTCATATATAAATATATATATATATATATATATATATTCTTATATATATTCTTATATATATCTTATTTGGTTTTTTATATAAGCTATTCTTTTTTTAATAACTATATGCTTCCATCTTTTCATATATATCTATTTTTGCTATTTTTCTTTTTTCCTCCATCTGTATGCTCCATAATTTATTCATATAAAATTATTCATAGTCAAAAATAAATATTGTCCTATATATATATATATATATATATATATATATATATATATATCATCTGTTTTATAAATGTATGTTTATACAAACTGATACAATTGCAGAACGGAAAAACTGCCAATTTTAAAATTAAAATTCTTTTTAAAATATAGTTTAATGTTTTCAAAATCTTCTATAATTTTCCTTTGTAAAGTTTTTATTTTTGATATTTATTGAAAAAAATAATAAATGTTTTTCTTTTTGAAATAGTTTTGAAATATTTCAAATTTATGTTTTCTTTTTTATAAACGCCTGTATTATAAAAACGGATTACTTATATATATATATATTTTTTTTTATTTTCAAACACATCATTGGATTAAACAAAATGTAAGAAAATTTCTATTTATTTTTTAATGTAGTTTATTATATAACATATTATATTTATACATTTTTTATAAAATATAAATAAATATATATATATATATATATATATATTCCTATTTGTGGCCCATCAGTCCCCCCTTAATTAACTAAATTGATGCAAACTATATTGTATTAATTCTGCCCATATTTTGCAATATATATATATATAAAAATATATATTATATTAATATGAAAATATTTATAAAGTTATATAAGAATTTTCATATAAATATCAAAGTAAATTCCTCCATATTATATATTTATAAATCATAATTATATATATTG